GCTGGTTTTTGTGTTTCTCTAGAGAACCCAATCCAACACATTTATAAATATATATATACACTTTGCTGGTTTTTGTGTTTCTCTAGAGAACCCAATCCAACACACAGCTCCTGGCCTTGTTTTGGCTGAAGATATCGAGCTTCACCATTGCCTTTTGCCACAGATGTAATCAATCTGATTCCTGTGTACTCCATCTGGCAAAGTCCACAAGTATAGCCACTGTTTGTATCATCGAAAAAAGGTATTTGCAATGCATAAGTTGTTGGTCTTGCAAAATTCTATCATGTGATTTTCAGCGTCATTTCTATCACCAAAGCCATATTTTCCAACTACTGGTGATTCTTGTTTCCAACTTTTCCATTCCAATCACCAGTCATAATTAACATATCTTGATTGCATGTTCGGTCAATTTCAGACTGCAGAAGTTGGTAAAAATCTTCAATTTCCTCATCTTTGGTTTAGGTGGTTGGTGGGTAAATTGAATAGTAATAATATTAACTGGTCTTCTTTGTACACGTATGGATATTATCCTATCACTGACAGTATTGTACTTCAGGATAGGTCTTAAAACATTCTTTGTGATGATGAATGCCACTCCATTTCTCTTTGTCATTTCCAACATAGTAGATCATAAGCCTGTCTGATTCAAACTGGCCAAAACCAGTCCATTTCAGCTCACTAATGCCTAGGATAGCAATCTTTATGTTCTATTTCATTTTTGACAACTTTGAATTTTCCTAGATTCATACTTCATACGTTCCATGTTCTTATTATTAATGGATGTTTGCAGCTGTTTTTTCTCATTTTGTGTCATGCTACATCAGCAAATGTAGGTCCTGAAAGCTTTACTCTATCCACATCATTATAGCTGGGTCTATTCTGAGGAGGCATTTCCTTCCCAGTCATATTGTGAGTAGCTTCCAACCTGAGGGACTCATCTTCCAGTACTGTATCAGATAATGTTTGTTTCACTGCTATCCATAAGATTTTCACTGGTCAGTTTTTTGAGAAGTGGATGTCCTCTTCCTTCTTCCGAGTGTTTTAGTTTAGAAACTCGCTGAAACTTGTCCACCATTGGTAAGCATGTTGGCATTTGAAACACCAGTGGCATAGCCTCCAGCCTCACATCAACACAAGCCACCACAGGACAACAAACTGACAGACAAATTCATCTTCCTCAGCTGTTCCAAACTGCTCCACTCCCACTTCCTGGCTTGCCCTACCTGTTCCAGCCCTCCAAAGCCAGCTGCCACCACTTCCCAGCCTGCCCATCTGTTCTGGCCCTCCAAAATAAATAGGGCCTCATAAAATGTAAAAACTTTTGCTCATCAAAAGATTTACCAAAAAGGTGAAAAGACAAGCTACCAATGGAAGTCATATATTTGACAAGAATATATAATAACCAAAATATATATGAAACTTCAATAACTTAAGAGCAAAAAGACAAATAACCCAATCATAAAATGGGCAAAGGACTTGAATTGACATTTCACCAAATAGGATATTCAAATGGCCACCAAACACATGAAAACATGCATAGCATCATTAGCCATCAGAAAGGCACAAATCAAAACCAAAATGAGATACCACTTCACTCCCACTAGGATGGTTAAGATGAAAAAAAAAAAAGAAAGAAAAAGAAACAGAAAATCACAAAGGTTGGTGAGATACGGGGAAACTGGAACACTTACCCATTGCTGGTGGGAATGCAAAATGTTACAGCCATTGTGGAAAACAGTACGGCGCTTCCTCAAACAACTAAAAACAGAACTACCATATGACTCAAAAATTCTACCCCTATGTGGAACAGACTTCAAAGCAGAAACTCAGGGATTTTACACGGATGTTCATTACAGCATTATTCACAATAGCCAAAAGGAGAAAACCACCTAAATGCTCATCAAAAGACAAATGGATAAACAAAATGTGGTACATACATACAATGGAATACTGTACAGCTAGGAGAAATGAAATCTTGATACATGCTGCAATACAGACATTATGCTGAATGAAATAAGTCAATCACAAAAGGACAAATATTGTATGACCTCATGTGGTGTAGTGAATTATACAGTACAGCTTTTGTAGCTATGGTCTTTGTAACTCCTACAGGATTACTGTGAGTAGCTGCTTATAAACTCCTGATTGTTAAAGTCATCCATCTGAGGTATTTCTGTTGGAACAGCATGAAGTAATCTTCTGGGAAAGTTTGCTCTCTTTCAGGTATGTAGAACTCCGATATTGGGATTGGTTAGTTTTGCCACTCTGTAAGGCTTAAAATGACCCCTCCTAGAGGCAGAGCAGAATCTCACTGCCAGCTGAGAGAGACGCCTGGCTGAGATGCCCGGCTGAGAGATGGCAGCAGTGGAATCAAGAGGCATGGGACACAGCAGCAGGTTTACCTGGCCACAGAGGCAGAGATTGGACCAAGAGGCCAAGGGCCAGAGAGGTGTGTCTAAGGGCACAGCAGAGAGGAGACTGTCCTGATCAAAGAACTATATCCTGAACGTGTTCCTGAACTTGAATTGTAGCCTGTTGCTTCCCTAATAAAGCATAATCTGTGGGTTCTGTGTGGCTACTGCAGTGAATTACTGAACCCAGCAAAGAGGTGGTGGGTGCCATGGGAGGGACAGTTGGTGCCAAGGTCTGTAAGAGGACTGGAGGGTGGCGGCAAGTCGGGCTTTGGGCTGCTGATAGTGATTCTGTCTTCCTCTTGGGTAGTTAGAGGAGGTCAAAAGATGCTGCCTCCCTGCTCCTTTAGCACCTCACTTACATAAAAAGACAAGAAAAGATAAATGTATGTAAAATAAAGTTTATCAGTAGTTTTGGGGTAGGGAGGAGGGAGAATGAAGGTTTTAAGGATGATGGAAATATCACATTGATTAAGGGTAGGGTTGCACAGCTGATAACTATAATTACTGTCAGTAAGTAATAAGCCCATACAAAGTTTAATTAGCAAAAAATATGTGTGTGTATGTGTGTGTGTATTCTATGATTCCAGACTTTGTGGTCACCTGTATTCCTATATTCTATTTTTTGTTAAGATATACCTATTATAAATCTTAAAACATTTTACCAGCTATATACATGTAGAAAAAATGGACACCAAAAATGAGATAATGGAGAAATTAATAACAAAAACAGATCTCCTTTGCTTTGAAATAATTCCACACAAAAACATTTTTATTTTGAAAAGGAAATGATTTTTAATCTATACATAAGAGACTCTAAATGATATTCAAGATACATTAGAAATGTGGTAAAATGTATTTAAATATACAATAATTTCAATACATCAGTCACTCCAAAATACAATATAAAGGTACAACTATTATATGATGACTTCTTAATACTCCATTGGGGCAGAGATAATTTTCAAATATAGAAAGTAATTAGTCTTTCTACAATATTAATCCCTAAAATCTATTCTCCTTTATAAACTACAGTATTATTGTCAGTTTCATGTATTTTTACTTTATATAGCACTCCCACAGGAAGAAATTTCTGGAGGTTTTCCCAGATATACACAGCAACATTTTCTGTTGTGCTGTAGGAAAGAAAAATAAAAGGGAAAGAAGTTTGAAAACTAATGATAAACACAACTTTATGTTTAATATTTCCAGAGAAAAGAAATTCTAGTTTAAAAAAAAATCATTAAACTGAAATTTTACAAATCACACATCAATCACATAAAATTAATTCTTTTTTACTACTTATATAAACAAAGGAAGCTCTGGTAGAGCAGTGCCTAAGGCACTTGACTGATAACCAGAAGGCTGGTGGTTACTCCTCAGAAGGAAGGTTGGTCAATCTACTTCTGTAGTGATACTGCCTCAGACACCCAAGAAGGGGTTGCTATGAGTCAGGTCCGACTCGATGGCACATAACAGCACAACAACACATAAACACACCTCACAACATCTGCAAAGTATGGGACATCAAGATCCAGATTCTTATGATCAAGAGGCTTCATAATTGCTTCCTAGAGACAAAACAAAAGGAAAAAAAATCACTGATTCCATTTATGACTCAAATTCCAAAGTTTCACACCTATGCCTCTAAACCTTACCCTTATCACTTATCTACAACTCAGTACTTATAAGTACTGTATCTGTGCTTCATACATCAATATTAGAAAGTTCAAAGTCATAAGATAAAGTGGCCTAGCTCTCCATAATGATGTTATCTTCTTGTTACTGAACACAAGAAGATGGAAAACCAAAAAGCACATAATTCACTAGAGCCTTTTGTAACATGAGCCATTAAGATTTAGAATTTAGTTTAACAATTCTTGAATTCTGTCCAAAAAGCTACCAGAAACACTTTTCCATTACACAGTCTCAACTATGGCACAATGCCACAATACCATTAGGACAAGACTCCAGTGAATACTACATTTTACAAAGCAGATTAAGACTGAAATGTAAGTAACTATATGATGTAAGTAACTGCATGATGTAAGTAACTGAATGATGTAAGTAAATATAAGTAACTGAATGATGCTGGGTTACTGAAAGAAAAAAATATTGTTAATATATAACAACTATTACTTCCTAATGCTTATATATATTAATAATTAATGTTTTTCCTTATCATTAGCAAAAACTGTAATTGCCTTATCTTTCTAAGTTTTTACTTTTAATGATTATATAAAACCTATGCAGTTGTGAAACAATCTAATTGTCATAGAGTATGTTTTCAAAATGAGAATAAAACAGCTGTAAACATCCAACAATAATCTAAATGTGGAATGTACAATGTATGAATCTAGGAAAACCAGAAATGGTCAAAAATGAAATAGAAACATATAAAGTATCACTTGTCCATTTTGAATTAGACAATCATATGGTCTACTATGCTGGGAATGACAAATTGAAGAGGAATGGTATCACATTTATTGCCAAAAAGAACATTTCAAGATCTACACTAAAATATAACACTGTCAGTGGTAGGATAGTATCCATATGCCTACAAGGAAGACCAGTTAATACAACTATCACTCAATTTTATGCACCAACCACTAATGGCAAAGATGAAGAAATGGGAGATTTTTACCAACTTTTGGAGTCTGAAATTGATCACGCAAGCAACCAAATGCACTGATAATTACTCATTATTGGATGCAAAAGGTGGAAACAAAGAAGGATAAGCAGTTGGGAAATATGACTTTGATGACAGAAATTATGTCCAAGATCGCATGACAGAATTTTGCAAGACCAACAACCTCCTCATTGGAAATACCTTTTTTTAACAACATAAATGGTGACTATACATGTGGACTGTGCCAGATGGAATACACAGGAATCACACAGACAACATCTGTGGAAGGAGATAATGCAGAAATTCACTATCATCAGTCAAAACAAGGCAAGGGGCCAAGTGTGGAACAGATTATCAATTATTCATATGCAAGTTCAAGCTGAAGGTGAAGGAAATTAAACGAGTCCACAAGAGCTAAAGTACAATCTTGGTATATCCCACCTGAATTTAGAGATCATCTCAAGACCAGATCTGACGAATTAAACATAAAGACCAAACACTAGATGAGCTGTGGGATGACATCAAGGGTATCATACATGAAGAAAGCAAAACATCATTAAAAAGACAGGAAAGAAATAAAAGACCAAAATGGATATGAGAATAGACTCTGAAACTTGCTTGAACATAGAGTAGCTAAAGAGAATGGAAGAAAGAATGAGTAAAAGAGTTGAATAGAAGATTTCAAAGGGCAGATCCAGAAGACAAAGTAAAGCATTATAAAGGAAATGTACAAAGATATAGAGTTAGAAAACCAAAATGGAAGAACATGATCAGCATTTCACCAGCTGAAAGAACTGAAGAAACTATTCAAGTTGCAAGTTACAATACTGAAGGGTTCCAGCTACTCTACGGGAGAAAGATGAGGCAGCCTGCTTCTGTGATGATTTACAGGTTTAGAAACTCTAAGGGGGCAGTTCCACTCTGTCCGAAAGGGTCGCTATGAGTCACAATAGACTCAATCACTGTGTGTGTGTGTGTGTGTGTATAAATATACATATATATATATATA